TAATCACTAATTATTAACTTCTACTCAAGTAATCAATTTCTTTCATACTACATGCTACAGAGTTACTATAGAGGTCTTATCTGCACTTAAACCACTGGACCATAAATTCTACCAAATTCCACAGTTTCAGATCCGTTTTTTAGATAATTTCAAGATGAATAGTGGCGGGGGGGGGGGGGGGGGGCGTGCTCAAAGAGAGACAAAGTTTGCAAAAATTTCCCGTATATTTTCCCACGCTAGGACACCATAGAGCTCCGGCTGCATTTAGATCGAATCTCGTAGAATCTACGGCGAGAGGGCGAGTCCCCGGATAACCGGGCTTCGAAAATTATTGCGGAAGATCGTCGCAGAGATCGCGGTCTCTCCGTGAGCCCACGAGAACGAATGTCCCTATAGAAAGGAGACAGCCGAATATCAGACAACGGTAATTCACCCACGGCTTGAATAAATTACCGTGGTCTTTATTAAAACCCACCGATGGGATCGAACGGAGGGCCTCGATACGATGGGTCACGTCCTAAAATATGAATACAGGCTTCCTGTGCATGTAATTTTCCCATTGTTTCACCGCGAATCCAAGGTTTTGTCACCGTTCAGACACAAAATCGGTGTTGAAGGTTTCTTCTGCTAGGTTACAGGATGTGTCAAAATGTGTGGTCGTGATTTGGACCAAGCTCTATCACTGTGTTAAATCTCATTAAAAGGCCAGCGTTATACTTGACGATCTCTTCTTCCCAGTGCCGAGGCGCCTTCGGACACTCATCGTGGATTTACTGTAGTACGTATACCTAGGTCTGACTCCCAATATCCATGACTGTTTTCTTCAAAATGATCTTCCGTTACATTAGTTCCCGAAGACGGTGATAATAACAAGAATAGTTGCCCCTACGAAGCTCCAGCCGACTCAACCCATAAATAGAAGGGTAAATAGCCTATAAATCAACGGCGTGGCCCCGATCGAACACGGGCAAAAGGTAAACGGGAGGGCTCTGTTTTCGTGCTCGACGGCCCTGAACGCGTCAGAGGAAAACAGAAAAAGAGAGAGGGAGAGACATACACAAGAGAGGGCAACGGAGGGTTTCACGGTATTTTTCATTTCACCCTCGGATGGTGTCCGGGCGACGAGCGCAAGCGCGTCTGTGTGTGTGTGTGTGTTTCTGCGTGGCCACTTCACGCGAGGACAGGAGACCAGGCGACAAAGGAGAAAACGTGGATGCGTGAAGTCTGGCCGGCGACCACGACTCGCCACGCATGCGAACACGCCGTGAAACGGGAGACAATGGCGGCCCTGGACCTACGTCAACGCGAAATTAAACCAGGCTGATGGAATGGGATCTCTGGGGGACGACGAGGGTCACTCTCTTTCCAGACCACGAACACACTGTGGATTTGAGTCACACACGACTTTGTGGGCTAGATTTTGCTTCTTGAATTCGTTTTTTATATTTAGTTTGATCATTTCAGTATGTCAGAATTGTCACAGTTTAAGCATTCTGTGGGGTAGGCTACGTCTGCTAAGTGGGGTTGCCTGATTTTTGTGGGGAATTAATTTATTGGGGTAGTACTGAGAGATTGAGCTATATTCAATCATTGCTGGGTTAGGGTATCTGTTTGATGTATGTCTTCTGAGATGGGTTCAGTGATTTGGGGTTGGAGGTACAAGTCACTCTGCGAGCTAAGTTAGGTCTGCTAAGTGGGATTACCTGAATTGTGTGGGGAATTAATTTACTGAGGTACTACTGTGAGACTGGTATGTATCTTCTGAAATGAGATCAGTGCTTTGACACCATCGAATTGATGTTTTTCATGAATTTGCAATTGAATATTTATTTTATGGTATTAACTCTACTACGGTTCAGTATCATATTTACTGTCATCTGTTTGCTGATATTTGTTCCACTGGATTAGTTTACCTCATATTTCGTCACTAATCATTAATATTCATCTTTGAATTCATTCGAAGATTAATCGTAGTCTTTCGCAATGTCTCGCCGATTGTCTAGGTTACGGGATTCTGTAGTTGGGGCTGCATTATGAAGCTCCCAATAGGGACCCAATATGGCGTGTGTTGATGGAACCTCGTAAAGCGCCCCCATATACGGACAAGACCGATTTAGACGGTCTATTGCCCATTTGTTCAGTGCAGTTCATGTTTGCACTGTGCGTTTAGTTTATCGCCAGTCAGATGACTTGAACCTCATGCTGACTTTAATGGGAGGTCTTTAAAAATTCTAGGCGAAAAGAACCACCAAGAATATTGCATTAACCTCGTCGGTAGAGGTTAGCTTCAGCTGGATTCTGTTTACAAATTGACACAATTTTTTGAAAGTCCTGTACACTCATGAGTCAGCCATTGTTGAATACGTTAGCGGAGGACATTGTACACAGCAGTTTTAATAATAGATTTGTTTATTGTGATGTTGTTGCTGAATATAATTACTCGGTGTCTGTACTTATAGCATGATATTTTCCACTGCTGATGTTATTGGCGAGCATAGTAAAAGCTGTCTAACTGGTTTTTGTGTATATTCTGCAGTGAACACTATTGAATAATCCTATTATGTAAGATGCTGTAACGGTGCCGCTGTTTTTGGACATTGTCACCGAACGTTTCACGCACTCTTCGGCCAACTTTTACCGTCAGCTTAACTTAAACATTCCAGCCGCTGGATCAGAAGCTTCAAAGGTCAACGTTGCATGCTAGTTCGAATACCAAGTCATTCCTCTTTTTTACTATCGAATTATAGTAATAGTATACTAAAACAGAGTCAAGTTAACCTAACCTACAATCTAGGTTAGGTTTATCCTATATTTTGTTTATCTTCCAGTCACCTTTATTGGACTGAAGTGAAATTAGAATTAGAACAATGCAAATTACTACTGAATCCAAATTATTCACTGAAGTAAGTTCTTTTAACACATTCGCCAATGAAATCTAAAGTCTGTATAATATAAAAATTGTGAAATCTCGATATGGGTCACAATTGATCCATCCGTCAGTATCGAATTTTAAATAACATTTGCTCAGACCTTACTATCCAATTTAATTTTTTAGAAAAACCCTATGTTACCCACGGAATTGATTAAAATCGTCACGAAACAGAGACCCCAGCGAATTTTCGAAATTTTCGCGGCGCGCGTTTGAAGAAAACGAGAGCCTGGAGGAGACGTAATATCTTTCGAAATGGAATGGTCGTGCTCGCCCGCGGCTCGCTAGGCACGCGGGCCTCTCTCGACGCCGCGCGCATGCATTTCTCTCAGGAGCCAGATAATTAATTTCCGTGAATACGCGGGCCTCGAACTGGCACGCGGCGGCGGCCGTCTGTGCGCACTCCTGAACGATCCGTACGCGAGACTACGACGAACTTTTGGAATTTATAACGGCAACAGTTGCTCGTTTAAATACCCGAGGGCTCCTCTCGTCCTCCCCTGAAGCGCAGTGTCCATGTAGATTCAATTAGCTTACTGGTGGATGTTTATGGAAATTGATGAAGCTAGAATGGGATCAATAGTAGTCGCCTCCGTTGAAGGATCTATTAAATTACAACGAAGAACAAAATGATCACAATCCTTAGCAAAGTCCTTTATCTCACTATTGTAAACTGTAAATACATCAACTTTCCATTGGATGCATTTTTTGTCGCGTGGGGCAAGAGTGACCCGGAGTCAACTTTGACGTAGGTCAAGTGTGACACGGAATCAACTTTGATATGGGTCAAAAGTGACTCGGACTCAACTTTGATATGGGTCAAAAGTGACCCGGGCTCAACTTTGATATGGGTCAAAAGTGACCCGGACTCAACTTTGATATGGGTCAAAAGTGACCCGGACTCAACTTTGATATGGGTCAAAAGCGACCCGGGCTCAACTTTGATATGGGTCAAAAGCGACCCGGGCTCAACTTTGACATGGGTCAAAAGTGACCCGAACTCAACTTTGACATGGGTCAAAAGTGACCCGGACTCAACTTTGATATAGGTCAAAAGTGACCCGGTTTGATATGGGTCAAAAGTGACCCGGACTCGACTTTGATGTGGGTTAAAAGTGACCTGGAATCCACTTTGATGTGGGTCAAAAGTGACCCGGGCTCAACTTTGATTTGAGTCAAGAGTGACCCGGAATTAACTTTGAAGTGGGTCAAAAGTGACCCTGAATCGACTTTGATATGGGTGAAATGTGACCCGGAATCGGTATTGGCGTTGGTTAAACCAAATTCTGATGTTGCTTTCGGACGCGGCAGGATTTTAATCGGGATCGATGCTTTCTGTTCCAGATGGTGGTGGAGGTTGAGCATCCAGGGGAGGAGGGCGGCTACAGTGCCCAGGGCGATGTGGCTTGCAAGCAGGAAAGCTCGAGGAGGTGATAACGACTTCTGACCTTCTGTGAGAGACCCCACCGTGGCGGAGAGGGCCTTGCCATCGATCGTCAAGTAAAAGGCTCACCATTCAGAAGAAAACGAAGAAGAGAAGGCGGAAGAAGAAGAAGAAGAAGAAGAAGAGTGAGAAGCAGCAGCCGTGGAAGAAGAAGAAAAAGGGAAGAGAGAGAGGCGAGCACTAGGGGGATCGAGGGAACACGCAACCGGCCCGACGACGAAGACGACGAAGACGACGACGAGTCGACGGGTCAGGAGGGGAGAGAAAGGGTGGAAAAAGGCGGAACCTTGAAAAGTAGTCCCTACCCCGCGGCGTTCGCCGAGAACACACAAGACATTCTCCAAGCGGAGAGAGAGATCGGTTGTATCTCCCGGAACGGTTTTAAAAGAACTTCTACCTTGAGAATATATACCTCGTACGAACAAGTACCTTCAAACTTAAACCTCTTTTTTCGCAGCGCAATAGTGCCTAGGCCCCTCCGAAGAAACGCAACTACAAAAAATAAAAATAAATATGAGATAAGAGATGATAAGTAAATGCTAATAAAGGATACAAAATAATATTATTAATAATAAGGACGTTATATATATATATATAAATAATAAATATACAAGAGAAACAAGACAAATTTATGAGATACGATTAAGTGATCTATAGTCACCAGAGAGAAGAGTTTATTATACTACGTTCGCAACAGGAACAAGTCACATTTCACGCACTCTCTTTGTCACACACGTCTGTCTCTCTCTCTCTCCCCCTATATGTATACATATACACACTTATATATACATATATACGTGTAGCATACGTATATTGCGGGGAAGATTGCACACACGGAGCCTCTCTTTTGCCCGATAAAAAGAGAAGAAACACCGAGGCTGCGATTAATCTCCAAGCATTTGGACGCGCCGGAGGGGATCCCTGTCCCTGGTGTTGTCGAGAGATTTTATCTGGAGACTCTCCTGTTGATAACGGTACCTTCTCCCCACCTCCCTTAACAAACCCACCCGGCAACCGAACAACCACGCTTCCCTCCGACCCCACCCCAAACCCCACCAGCACTTTCAATCGATTCTACCAACCAGGACAGCGAAGTACCTGCAGACATTTATAATAATAATTTATATTATAATAAACCGACACACCGGAATATTAATAACAAGAAGGTAGTGATAAACAACTAAAGGCGCAAAGAGAATAGAAGAAGAATAGAAGAATAATTAATAATAAGGGAAAATATATATTACGCGTATATGGTGTGAGAGGAAGAAGGGAAGGTGCGAAGACAAACGAAGGATCCGTACAACCGAAGTGTGAACGCTTAATAATACTAGACGCCGATACGGTTAGAGTACTTCTACATCTGCGGTTAAAATCTACTCAGCGATCGCGGCAGGCCTGTTCTACATATACGATCAAGGTACGTGGGTATTCACTTTTCCTGTACTGAAATTGGAGTTACAATGTTTTAGTAACCCTTTGCTACTTGTCCATTCTGACGCAGATATTTAATTTAGCAACCTAGAGCGATCAAAATTTCAAGATGGTAGTTACATCTTATACATCTTATGAAGTATAAAATATATTTAAGGGTCCGAATGGTCCCAGGAATCCTTGATTTGACCTGTCTTACACTTCAGAACTGATTACACCAAATTCATTATGGAAGTTATCTATACCTTTGGCTACCTGATGAAACTTAGACTCACTTTAGTCTCCCAACTTGACCCAGTAGTATTTCGAATGTCTTGGCCTAACAGTGTTCTAGACATTGAAGACATTTAGGTGACACGATCTGACATTAGATGGAGCGGATGAAGTATCTAGCCCACTTGTCTTATAGATCAGAATCAGCAGACTCTGGCAAGACATTCAGCTTAGTACCTACGGTTTCAAACATTTGACATAACTGATGATCTCAGGTGTCTTCCAAATACCAACCACTTCTCCGCCAAAGACGTACCCATAAATGGTGACACGACCACTGATCTCGGTCCGAACCTCGAGAACAACCAGTCCACTTCCACCTAGAGAGCCTCGGTACGTACGATCCGTGACTCGCTAATAGGATTACGTTTCGCAACAGCAGAAGGAAGATCCTTCAAATTCCCAATTAACATTCGGCATCCTTCCTGGCCGCAAAGCGCCGTGTCATCTAACGCACAATCAAAATCCTCGTTGTCCTTCAGACCAGCTAGACCCCAAGGATCAAACCGGCCGGATGTCCATTCTCCCGCCACTTCCGTGTGGAGATCAGTGATCGAAAAGCCAAACCATCTGGCACTCTATGTCGAACAGTGGTTAATCGTCGGAAATTTTTCTCACGCCAATGGCTAGAGATCCCATCGGGTATTAGCTTTCTCGGTGTCGCCCCCACTCCCCCAAATAGCCATTTCATTAGTGTTGGATCCGCGTACCGGAAAGAGGATACTTTTACCCTGGACATATCGGACCACTGGGATCTTCGTTCTTGCACGATAATTAGCACCTTCGGGTGGTTGATAAACCGGGCCCGATACAACAACAGGGGCCCAGTCGCACGACTAGTGAAAGGTGGTGGGCCCACCGACACCTTCCTCGAGCAACTTTTATCTGCCGCGTACGATCTTCGCCACTTCGGGCGTAAATTATCCTACGGAATTCTTTTACGAACGTTGCTCGACATTCGACGCCGCCACCGCCTTCGGGCCCCTGTTCACTTTCACTCGGCCGCGGACGCACCGATGCATCGGACGTTTCGTTTAGTTTCACGACCACTTGCCCCCACTCCTATCCTCTCCTCCCACCACCTAATTGGGACAGGTATGAAATTCACGTTCGGGGCCCCTGTTCGAAATACTCGTGGCCTTCATTCTGGGCATAATAGCCTGCGGTGTGCAGTCGCCTCGGTCCGGCTATCGGAGGAACAGGATCGAAAGAGTCTTCATTTAGTCAATTCGCTGTAAGGTTGAGGCGGCCAAAAATGCCCTTAGACCGATTTCGTCTTGGAATACACCACTCGATAGCTTGTTAGGAAAAAATAATTTAAGCTAAGTTTTAACGCTTTGCCTTAACCAGGTGGGTAGTAATCAGGAAAATTCGGATAATCGGTTTTTCGTATTATTTTCCTGACGTGCGAAAATTCTGTAAAAAATCTGATAGATAGTATTTACCGGGGCACGTGTTACAGAATTGTTTCAGATTTTTTATTTTGAGAATTCTAGTTTGAAAAAATGGAAAACTCTGAAAAATGCTGAAACACTTTTTTTAATTACTGAAGTTTTAAAGACACCACATGTAGCCTTTCACAGTAGCAATATGTTACCATAAATAGAGCCCCGAATTTTTTTTTTTTAATTTCTATACATAATTTTGGGGAAACAAAAAAAATTCCAAAACATTGAGATCAATACTTACGATAATATTTTTCAAGGAATCTCGCCTGAGCTGTAAGTTATCAATTGGGACACGCTTCTTCTTCATTTTGGAGCATTCCAAAGACATTTTGGCATGTTTAAGTGGGAAATTGGCTTCTGGGAATGAAAATACGATGCGTGACGTTCATATTTTTTAGTTCCAAAACACATCAAACCTGACGAACGACTTCCATGTATCAGTCGCAATTTATTTCTTGCGTAACACTGTCAAGATTCCGGTAAAGTTAGCAGTTGTTCCCATAGTGAACAAGAAGCGTAGTAACGACGGGCGTTATTAGACGCTGAAGTGCATCGATGCTACCGCGGTGGGCGACACGATGGTTCTTTTTTTTCCTTCGCATCGATAGCCGACTAACGGACACCTTGGCTAGTCGTTTGGATCGCAGGGCAGCATAGAGTCATTGTCCGGCGTTTACGTGACGAATTTCCCCGTGCCTCGTTGTCCTCACCGGGTATCGTTCCTGTCGTTCACGACCACGCTATCCGCATTTTAAGAGCTTTCTAAGAAGCTCCTTCGGTCAGCTAGCCACCAGCCTCGACGAACCTCTGAACCTCAACATTGTTATCTTCGACGACTGTTGGTCGCCATTTTGTTCAGTTCCCTGTCCACGATACGTGATCCTGTTCGGTAATTCGGTACACACTTGGGTTCCCTTCGAGAAATTTTTTATTCTCTTCCAACGTTCACCAAGTCCACTAAGTTTGTCTTTGCCAAACAGTCCTGGGAACAAACCGCCTGTGGTCTCTAAGTTTGCACATTTCTTTCTACGTATATTTTATTACGGTTTTCACGACTTCGCGCCAAGTCCTTGCGAGATTTCTCCGTGTAATCGTTCACCTTCGCCGGTCGCACGATAATCTCGTCCTTGGTTGCACACGATAGGCATTTATCAAGCTCGTGTTTGAATTGAAATTGTTTTCGACTCACGATAATGATCGCTGGATACAGACGACGCGTTGCCGGACAAACAACACCGCGAAGGAAACAATAAAAAAAACGTCTGTTCGATTTTACAGTTAGCGAAAGCTCGTTGAAATTCTGGACGCAAAGCCGGCTCACGCGTGCTTCGATTACATCTTCGCCGTTCCAGGGAGCAGCGCTCGTGATTTCGCGTCAGCTCCTTCGGTCAATCGCTCGCCTCGTGATGCCTGTTATTATCGAACGAAATATTAATGTCAGTCGATAAATTGACGGTTCACCATCGAAAACCACGAAATTATCGAATTATTTGATATTTGAAATTGTATTACCGTGACGGTCACCGGTGACCGGCGGGGAGCAACAGAATTAAGAATGTTCTGCTTCGATCACCGGTGATCGAGTCGTCATGATTAGAAAATTTGGTATAAATTGTAACCGTGTGAATTATGTTTCAAATTTCACCAAATAATTTTACCCTTACTTACTTCAATTATTTTCCAACCATCACGTTTTTTTGTTCTTTTCTGAACGCCCTATATACATTTCAACATTTCTTCCATCGTTCCACAAAGGAACTAATTCCCCATAAGTTACAATGCCTTCCAGTCCGATAAAGCGAAAGTGGTAGCTTCTGCAGAAAGAGTGACCAGTAGCTTCCTAACCGGGGAGGTGACTCTAACCTGTCGGTACAGTCTCCGCCCATTGGTGGTCTGTTCCAATCAGACTCTGGCTGCAATCACGTGATCCCCGTCCGAATTCCTTACGAGTCACGTGTACTCGATACGATTTCGGGCACGGTCGGCCCCCCTCGTGAACCCTCGGTCTGGCTCGTCAGTACGTTCGGGTAGCCACGCGCGGTTCCAAGTCCGAATGGGAGTCGAAATCGGCATCGCTGGGAGACGCAAGTGTACTCGCAGGAGCGTGACAGCGTGCCTCGGTTACGACACTTGTTTTGTGACCTGGATATATCCCCGTTTCTCTCCACTTTATACCCACTACCTCGTATACCCAGTTGTGTGCCCCCCCCCACCTTGTGTCCTTTTCTCCCCTTCCCCCTCGTTCCACTGTCACCCCACGTTGCGACGGGTTGCCCCGGCGGCCCCGTCGATACCATTCGAATATCTGGTTCACCGTGCCTCTCGACCACATGCCGCGCGTCCGACCGCCGCGTGTCACCCCTCCCTGATTCACCCCTATCCACCAGGCGGTATTCTTACCCTGAGGCCCCCTCTGACCTCGTCCTTGACTTTTGCCCCTGGGTTTAGGAGCGAAGCAGACCTCTTTCGGTTGGTATCCGAGACACGTTGGGATTCGAAGCGTCACTGGAGTGTATTTCACTTGGAGGATTGGTAATGTTTAGGATACTTTGGTGGGTAGCTTCAGAGGTGGGTTGGAGGAACTTAGGGGTCTGGTACCGTGATTAATAGTAGCCTTTGTGGAAGGATACTTGCCAGACAACAGAGTCCAATTGGGTTCTTTATTTTGATGGTTTAAGTAGGCTTATTTGAGTGGATTTAACCTTGTCAGACTTGGGAACTTGAATGTTGGGTTACAAATTTAAATGTCCTTCTGGGTATTAGATATGCATATTGAAAGTTGATAGAACGTTGCGTTTTGGAATTATCGGACCTGGACTAGGGGAACAACACTCGTTGGTTAGGGTACTTCGTAGCTACCTTAGGTTATCTTACGGGTCTACAGACTCAGTTGCTTTATGTACATTCAGTCGATTCTGTCTTAGAACTTTTTGGACTCCCTGACTGTACTGGTTTTATCAACACTAGCCTTTGATCTTTTATTTCTTCTAGGAGCCTAATGGCCTGTGGACATCCTAGACCACTAATTGATCTGAAGAACGTCCCTTTAAAATGTACACTAGCCTTTGATCTTTTATTTCTTCTAGGAGCCTAATGGCCTGTGGACATCCTAGACCACTTTAAAATATTCCAGTTAGGCTATAGCTAAAATAACACTAAACACTCATAATTTCATACCAACATTAAGAACTGTCACCCCGATAGCTACCATCTGGTCCAGTGTCTTATACCAGAGTAAACAAGCAACCTGGTTGATAATTGTTTG